TCCACCCTTAGGTATTTACCCAAAGGATAGAAAAACCCTCAGTCAGAAAAACACTTGCACATCCATGTTTACTGCAGCATTATTTACAATTATTAGGACATGGAATCAACCCAAATGTCCAAAAAATAGACCAGTGGATTGAAAAAAAAAATGGTATATATACTCTATATACTACCACTCAGCCATAAAAAATAATGAGACCCTGACATTGATATAAAGTGAACAAATGATTAGGACTTAATGCTAAATGAAGCAAGCCAGAGAACGAAAGACAGGTTTTGTATGTCTCTACTCAATATATACTGAATGCCTGCACTCTGTAGAAGAAACTGAAAGTTTGGAACATACAGTAGCAGAGAGGGCAACTGTAGATACTAGAGATAATAAGGATAGGGGTAATATGGAATGGGTAATAGAGGGAGGGAGGGAGAAGAACGGGAGAAAATAAAAAATTATGTTTAATTGACACAGAAATAAAAAGCTATTTGCTGATGATAATCTTTATGGTAATGTCTGTCTTGACTGATATGCACTGTATTCGAGCTGGAAAAAGAAATGTTGTTCACTGTAAAGATATATAGTGATTAAATATAAATTGAATAAATAAATAAATTGTAAGATAATAACAAAAATGTGTTTAGAGAGACCAGCAGATGGCGTGGTGGTTCAGGCATGGTACACTCCTTATGGTTGACCATGGTTTGATCCTGGACCCAGACCTGGGGGTTTGCTTTCCCACTTTCTCTCTCTCTCTCTGTGTCTCTGGTCAAATTAAATTAAATGAATGAAAAAATAAAATTAAATAAATAATTATTATAAAAAATCTGCTTAGGGAGTTGAAAATTGATATTTAAGATGTAGTTCTGGAAGTTTGCCTATTTTTTGAAGTCACTTAAATATTTCTTTCATTTGTCATCTGTTTTTATATTTCTTAGGAAATGCTAATTATTAATTTTAGTCTTAAAAGCAAAGTCTAGATATATTCAGAGAGTTACATTTTGAAAGAGTTTAAAAAATTTTTTGTTATAAAAATGATCTCTGAAATGTCTTTTAACTCTAAAATGAGATTACACTTTATGACTTTAGGCCTCATGTGCAATTTCCAGATGGACTATGATATCATGGATCATGAGTAGGAGTCTTATTGTTGCCCTTCACAAAGCAACAACATATAATATATGGATTCTTAAACATACTGTTTATGCCCTCTCAATATAACAGCCACAAAAAACAAGTATCATTCTCAAACTTACTGATGTATAAGAAGTGACTTTTTATTGTAATATCTTCTGAATGTAAGACAAAACTTAGATCAGAAAGAAAGAAATGGAGTGGGACCAGCAGTTAGCATAATGGTTATGTCGCTGGACTCCCATGTAGTCGATTGCGGTTCGCCTCCCGGACCTGGTGGCTTAAAACTCACACTGGGTGCATGTGCATGCGTGCTCAAGATCCCGAGAGGAGAATGGAGGAGAAGGGATTGTGGCATGACCACCCCCCCTGGCGGGTGATTTCTTGCTTTCTGTCTCTCTGTCTCTCTCTGCCTGGCGAGGCGCCATAGGGAAAAAACCCCTAAAAAAAAAAAAAAAAAAAAGAGAAAGAAAGAAATGGAGTTGAAGCTTCAGAATGTATGTCTAGGGAATCTAGATTTCAATGTTTTTCTAGTTCCTAGAGAGAAATAGAAATCTTTTGACTATGTCATTAAAGGCTTGTTTCACTTGTTTGTTTCTCAGAGTGTAAATAAATGGATTTAACATGGGAGAAATGGAGGTAGTGAGTAGTAAAACCCCCTTATTAATAGTCATTTCATCTTTTGCTGAAGGTTTGACATATATAAAGATGCAGCTGCCATAGGTGATGGAGACCACAATGATGTGGGAAGAACATGTGGAAAATGCCCTTTTTCTTTGCTGGGCAGAGGGAAATCTTAGGATCGTTCTGATGATATACATGTAGGACAAAACCACACACACAAGCGTCATGATAAAAATCAGCACAGAGCCAACAATAACCATTTGATCTATGAACCATGTATCTGAGCATGAGATCTTCAAGAGAGCATTAGCATCACACCCAAAGTGGTCAATGACATTAGAGTTACAGAATTCTAAATTTAGTCCCAAGCTAAGTGGTGGGAGGATTATTAACAAAGTAATTGTCCAACAGCAGAAGATGAGCCTTTGACAGACCCTGTGGTTCATGATGGTCATATAATGGAGAGGTTTGCAGATGGCTACATAGCGATCATAGGACATGGTGGCCAGGAGGAAAAACTCTGTTATTCCAAAAACATATGTAAAAAAGAGTTGGCATGCACAAGAATTGTAGGTAATGACCCTGTCTCCTGTTGATAGACTGTATAAGAATCTAGGAATACAGGCAGAGGTGAATGAGATTTCTAAGAATGCGAAATTTTGGAGAAAAAAGTACATGGCCGTCTTAAGGTGGGAATCCACTAATGTGAGGAGGATGATGGTCAAGTTTCCACTTACACTCAACATGTAGGTGATAAGGAGAAATATAAAAATCAGAATCTGTAGTTGGGGGTCATCTGTCAGTCCCAGGAGGATGAATCTGGTTACAAAACTTAGATCAGAAAGAAAGAAATGGAGTGGGACCAGCAGTTAGCATAATGGTTATGTCGCTGGACTCCCATGTAGTCGATTGCGGTTCGCCTCCCGGACCTGGTGGCTTAAAACTCACACTGGGTGCATGTGCATGCGTGCTCAAGATCCCGAGAGGAGAATGGAGGAGAAGGGATTGTGGCATGACCACCCCCCCTGGGGGGTGATTTCTTGCTTTCTGTCTCTCTGTCTCTCTCTGCCTGGCGAGCGTACGTACCCTATGGCAAAAACCTCTCAAAAAAAAAAAAAAAGAGAAAGAAATAAATGGAGTTGAAGCTTCAGAATGTATGTCTAGGGAATCTAGATTTCAATGTTTTTCTAGTTCCTAGAGAGAAATAGAAATCTTTTGACTATGTCATTAAAGGCTTGTTTCACTTGTTTGTTCCTCAGAGTGTAAATAAATGGATTTAACATGGGAGAAATGGAGGTTGTGAGTATTGAAACTCCCTTATTAATGGTCATTTCATCTTTTGCTGAAGGTTTGACATATATAAAGATGCAGCTGCCATAAGTGATGGAGACCACAATGATGTGGGAAGAACATGTGGAAAATGCCCTTTTTCTTTGCTGGGCAGAGGGAAATCTTAGGATCGTTCTGATGATATACATGTAGGACAAAACCACACACACAAGCGTCATGATAAAAATCAGCACAGAGCCAACAATAACCATTTGATCTATGAACCATGTATCTGAGCATGAGATCTTCAAGAGAGCATTAGCATCACAGATAAAGTGGTCAATGGCATTAGAGTCACAGAATTCCAGATTTAGCCCCAAGCTAAGTGGTGGGAGGATGATCAGTAAAGTGATCATCCAACAGCAGAAGATGAGCCTTTGGCAGACTCTGTGGTTCATGATGGTCACGTAATGCAGGGGTTTGCAGATGGCTACATAGCGATCATAGGACATGGTGGCCAGGAGGAAAAACTCTGTTATTCCAAAAACATATGTAAAAAAGAGTTGGCATGCACAAGAATTGTAGGTAATGACCCTGTCTCCTGTTGATAGACTGTATAAGAATCTAGGAATACAGGCAGAGGTGAATGAGATTTCTAAGAATGCGAAATTTTGGAGAAAAAAGTACATGGCGGTCTTAAGGTGAGAATCCACTAATGTGAGGATGATGATAGTCAGGTTTCCACTTACACTCAACATGTAGGTGATAAGGAGAAATATCAAAATCAGAATCTGTAGCTGGGGGTCATCTGTCAGTCCCAGGAGGACAGAATTTGTAGCTGGGGGTCATCTGTTAGTCCCAGGAGGATGAATCTGGTTACTGATGTGTAGTTTCCCATGTCAGGGTCCTGACTTCTGTCCAATCTGCATGTAACATGAGAGAAATCAGAACTGAGAAGAGGGTGGAAATGTTTTTTTATACATTAAAAATTAATTTACTTTTCATATTTTACTGATTCACAAAAGATCTTAATTAATCTAAGTACTTTCAATATCATAGAGCTGATATATACAAATCTATGAACACCATGTCTCCTTTAGGCATAGAACTCAGTGAGTAGAATGAGCATACTATAAAGTAGCACCTCATTGTGGGTACATAACTTACTGTTTTCATTAAATAGATATCTTATTATGTATTTTTAATGCCAAGAAAAATTTTAGATTTAATAAATCAAAATCAAACGATGCAAAGAAAAATTTGCTTGAGACCTAAAGTCTGAAACATTTTTTCTCTCTCCATTACCTTCTTTACTAAAGATAGGCATAAACTAACTTTTTTGCAAAAAAAAAAAAAGAATCAATGAATAAATTTATTCTCAAAACCCCAATAGAATACTAACTGATTTAATCAGCATTTCCAAGTTTTGACACAAGGCAACAGATATTGAACTTATGCAAAGAACCATTCTGTCACAAAATAAGAATACTTCCAAATATTTTCCAATTCCAGAGGGGTCAGGAAGGAAGAAAAGTTTACATTTCCATTTAAAGAAACAAACAAGAAAAATATTTTAACAAGTTGCAGAACCTATCAACAACTCAGAAGAAAGTAAAATGCTTAAATTGGGAAAACAAAGCATAGTAAAAACAAATCAGTAATGTTTTACTCAAAAGTCATAAAATTCTATTTCGTCAGTTAAGTCTTATGTTCAAACTCTCTTCTGTTCTATATGCAGTATTGGCGTGGTCCAATCTTTCTGTTTAAATCCTGGAAGTTAACATTCAACGTTGTTATTGATATTTCTTGTCCCTACCATCTGGCCCAAAAATCAGTAATTTTTTTTTAAAGAGGTTTTTGCTATAGGGCACATATGCTCACCAGATAGACAGAGACAGAGAGATAGAAAGCAAGAAATCACCTCCCAGGGGGGATGGCCATGCTGCAATCCCTTCTCCTCCATTCTCCTTTCGGGATCTTGGGCACGCACGCACACACGCCCAGCGTGAGTTTTAAGCCACCTGGTTTGGGACGCGAACCGCGGTCAACTATGTGGGAGTCCAGCAACATAGCCATTACGCTAACTGCTGGTCCCAATCAGTAATGTCTTAATCAAAGTCATAAAATTCTATTTCACCAGTTGTTTCACATAATGACTCTTCTCTTGAACTTGCAATGTTACCGTAGTCCAATCTTTCCATTTAAGTCCTGGAAGTTAACATTCAGTGTAAACATTGATCTTTCTGGAATTGTCCCTATCATCAAGCTGGCCATTTTCTTTATTGGTTTTGTTCTCTCATTTCTGTGAATCTGTCTTTAGTTTTCCTGGTATAGGAAACTATACCTTCAGAACTTCTTGGAGAGCTGGTATGGAGTTGGTAAATTCTTTCAGGTTTTGTTTATCTGAGAATGTTTTTGCTTTTCTTCCTAGATGAAGGATAATCTTACTGGTATATTATTCTTGGCTGAAATTTTTTTCACTTAACACTTTGAATATATTTTCCATTCTTTCCTTGCTTGCATTGTTTCTGATGAGATGTCCAATGTTAGCCTAGTGGGATATCCTTTATAAGTAACTTGACATTTTTCTCCTGCCAATTTTAGTATCTTGTCTTTGTCTGTGGTTTTGATCAATCCGGCTATGATGCATTGGTTAGAACTAAACAATTTGTTTTCCATGTATTTTGCTTGATTGTACACTAAATATTTTAAAGATTTGTGAGTTTATATCTTTTGATATGTCAATTTAGTCAGTTTGAAATCCAGGCTTTCAAATATTTTTGACAAAATAAATAAAAATATATAGTTTCTATTGAAATTCAAGATACACGGACCAGCAAATGACATAATGATTATGTTGCTTGACTCCCATGTAGACCTCAGTTAGAGTCCTGGACCTGGTGGCTTAAAACTCACACTGAGCATGTGTATGTGCATGGCCAACCCTGAGAGGAGAATGGAGAAAGGACTGTGGCATGGCCATTCTTCCTGAGGGAGGGTAATTTATTTCTTTCTGTCTTTCTGGTGATTGCATGCGCTCTATAGCAAAAAATCTCTCTCTAAAAAAAAGAAATTCAGGATATATGTATATGCATATTCAGATACTTGCAGATATCTGAAATAAAAACCTCAGAAAAATAAGTTTTGAGTGTCCTAATCTGTAATATTTCTAAATTTATCACATTTGATATAATATGCATGTCACTAAATTAATTCATAGCTTATTAATTGGATATGATCTGTAGTTTGAATAAAATTTTGATTGCTCTCTGGGTTTGGATGTAGTTGTCAGCATTATGGCTAAAGCTATCAAGAAAAAAGTCATCGTGGGTAAATAAGACCCTCTATGGTGTCTCTCATGAGAAAATGGTAAAAAAATTGGAATCAGCCAGCACTCCTTCTGTGGCAAAATCAAGGTGAAGATACAGGTTGGGAACCAGCAGTTAGCGTAATGGCTATGTCGCTGGATTCCCACGTAGTCAACCGCGGTTCGCGTCCCGGACCCAGTGGCTTAAAACTCACGCCGGGCGTGTGTGCGTGCGTGCCCAAGATTCCGAGAGGAGAATGGAAGAGAAGGGATTGCAGCATGACCATCCCCTCTGGGGGGTGATTTCTCACTTTCTGTCTCTATGTCTCTGTCTGTCTGTCTGGTGAACGCACGGGCCCTATAGCAAAAACCTCTCCAAAAAAAAAAAAAGAAAGAAAAAAAGAAGATACAGGTTGTAGGGATCTGGCACTGTGATTCCTGCACCACTGCAGTAGCTGGTGGTGCTTGGAATTACAACACGACTTCGACAGTCACAAAAAAATCTGGCATCAGAAGATTGAATGAATTGAAAAACCAGTACAAAACCCCCAAATATGGAATTTCACCAGCCTACAATAAATGGGTTAATTTATGTAGCAAAAAACAAGAAAAAAATCTTGATCATCTTGAAGTCTTTCAACTATAATACAATCCAAGGAATATGAGAATATTCCTTGCCACAATATTTAAAGAAATTTACTCTATTATTTATTTATTTATTTATTTTTTGAGAGGTTTTTGCTATAGGGCACGTGCACTCACCAGAAAGACAGAGACAGAAAGTGAGAAATCACCCCCCCAGGGGAGATGGCCACACCGCAATCCCTTCTCCTCCATTCTCCTCTCGGGATCTTGGGCACACACGCACACATGCCTGGTGTGAGTTTAAGTCATGGGGTCTAGGACTTGAACCTTGGTTGACTAGATGGGAATCTAGTGACATAGCCATTACTCCAACTGTTGGTCCCAACTATTTTTAATTTATACATTGGAATAAACTTACCACACCATGTGCTCGCTCCTTGACAAGTTTTGAGATTTGAATATTCAGGTATCTTTTTTAAAAAGAATTTTTCCCTTCTTGTGGACTGAAAATTTGCTGTTTCTTTTATCTGCTCAAAGCTGTGTTTTTTTCCTGTATAAATTGCAAACAAGGGAGATGATTATGATATGACATTTTCAGATCCATTTGTTAAAGCAGTAATGATCATGTTCCACAATCATGACCAGACATATAATTAATCTATAAGAACATTTGTTCAATAAAAAATTCCCCTGGATCTCTTCCTTATCTCAAAATGCTTATGCCTTAGCATGATATTCACTGATAATTAATGCTAGTCATAAACAGAGGACGTGTATTGATACACACTGATTCACTAATAAGTGAAGTTGTATTTTCTTGAAGGTGTTTGTTTACAATTGACAAATATCCTTATCTGTTTTTAATATCCTTATCTGTTTTTATTTGGCTAAAGCACACTCAGTCCCTTAGTTATTGTGATGCAGGCATTATAATTATTATCAACATTAAAATTATTAAGTAGAATCTCCATTTTGCAATTTAACAATCTGCAATGATTTTAACTTGTGGCTTTCAATATACTCTTTCCTTTCTTTTGAACTACAATTGCCTATGCACCTATTTGCAAGATAACTTGTCATGTTTTTACATTTATGAAGAGTAGTCATTTTATTAGACTTTTTGGTTGAAATGCCAGTCATTTCTTTCTTACAATGTTCAAAATACACTGCTTTCATGATATCCACACTCCTGATTTTTGCTTTCCCTTCTGGTTCTCTTTAAAATGATCTCCTTCCCTATTTATCTTTAGAACATTGATATTCCTCAGATGTTATCTTTAATTCCTCTCGCCTGTTTTTCCTACCTGTTTTTTTTCTTTTTTTTCCCCATCAAGCAGGCACTATATTTAATTTTGGTTTTGGCTCAAATACACTGGTCAATTTTTTTTCCTACCTGTTTTTAAGAACAAGAAGTCTTGCTTTAAGTTTCATAACTTTAAATCAGAATGTAAAATTTGAATATTACAAGATCTAGATATTTTTATTCTTACTGTTAAACAGCTCCACCCGGAAATTTTATACTCATCTCAAATTTACCAATTTCAAAATTATTTTACATCTTCAGCACCACTATTACTCCTTGTCCTGCTCCCCATTCACTATACTAAAATCGAAAGCCAATATTAATTGTCCTGAATTAAAAATCGAGATCGAGGTATATTGTTTCTTAGTTTAGCCCTGTCTTGAAACTCTGTTGACCTTTTAGGTTCACCAAATTTTGCTGTTTTCTTGACTCTAACATGGAGAAATTTTGTTTGTTTTGTGGGTGGAATTGTAGAGAACGGTGCTAAATTCATGCCACCATATGAAACAAGTATTATGGCAGCCTGTTACATAGACTATCTGTTTGGAAAAATTTTCCTCTAATCACTTATGCTTTACTTCTCCTCCTTATTGTATTTCATTCTTATACTTTGCTCTAGTGACTTCTTGATTAATTTCCCCCAAATCACATTCAGTACTTCTCTTGTGTTTTGTTGCATCCTATGCATAATAGGGAGTATGCA